CTTTATACTGTAGACATGTAGAACATATTCGCGTTTGTGCAACAATGTCTGTAATGTGTGCTGTAGGTGTGAAACTTTTAGGAATCTTATCCAAGTTGTAGGCTAGTCAATATTGGTCAGTCAGTCGTATCTGAGGATCACATGGCACTGAGTTGTTAGAAAAGAAATGCGTAGCGTTATTGCTTGATGACGTCAGGAACTGATGAATCGGCTTTTTGAACCGGTTCAATGAGCCGATCTGTCCGAAAAGAACCGGTTCGCGGAAATGAATTGGACTTTGCATCACTACTGTTTACTAACAAGGTGACAGCGCCAACTATTGGCCTGGCATACGTAATACAGCGTTTTTGGCCATTTTCGCGGATATGTGTAAATGCTAATCATTTTGAAAACGTTGTCATGTATACATTAAACTTTTTAAAAACGCAAGGGAAAAACTTTTCCGTTTTGGACTACACCGTTGTCGTGTAAATGTAGCTTAAATGAGTTAAGACCTCTTCAGAAACTCCAAAGGAGGCACACATAAGATTACTGATCATTTTCTGAGGACAATCATTTGGGCGCTATTTATTACTTGAATGATTTTGCATTTTATACATTTAAAAGCAGGTTGTATGTGAGACTTTGTTTGTGTCCAGGAGCATGCTTGAAGTTATATAAACATTTGAGCACTGCTTAAAAAGCACAAGATCACAGTGTTTCCTTTTGAGGGAACTTTAACACTGCAGCAAGGTGTTGATGGTATGGGAATGCCTTTATCATGTGTCAGTGTTTGAAGCACATGTAAACACACCAATCTGATTGGCCAAGGCAGGGAAACACATTCCACTTGATCAACTTTATGCACAGACACCTTTGTTGATGGTATGGGAATGCCTTTATCATGTGTCAGTGTTTGAAGCACATGTAAACACACCAATCTGATTGGCCAAGGCTGGGAAACACATTCCACTTGATCAACTTTATGCACAGACACCTTTGTTCCTTGGTGATGTGTTGCCGTGTTTTTACACATGCTTCAGACACCAGCACACACTGAAGGTGTTCTCATAGCATCAACGTCATGACGCATCTCAGGGAACCAGATAACATATGTAACTCTGAGACATTTTGTCGTTATGGGCCGCTGTGTTACATCCTGTCTGTCAGCAGCTGCACGATTGTTCCACTTAGTTCTCTGCACACATATACTAATACAAATATACTCTGAAAATAGGTTAAGCATTAGCATAGCTGCAACAGTCATATTATCATTTCCCATGGCACAAGGATTCTCGGCTTATCACCCCACAACCATCCAAGATCAATTAATAAAATGAAAAGTCTGTCATCCTTTACTCATCCATTTGTGAATTCTAATACCTACGTA